GTTGGGTACAAGAAGACCGGCACAAAAGAGGACCTACTACATGGTTTCATTTGTAGAAAATTTCAGAAGACAAAATTCATTAATAGTGAAAGAAATTAGAATAGTTGCAATAGGTGAGGGGCAGGGATTGACCAAAATAACAAAGTGACTAAAGTGTTTTATATCTTAATTATATTTTTCAAATTCATCAAATTATACACCAAGTGCATTTCATTTCATTCATAAAATTGTAAATTATGCAGCATTTACCCTTTAAAAAAATTCTTGAACAATCTCTTCTCTGCACAAAAACCACTTTCAAATACACACACACTCACTTTAATGTCTCAGATTGCAAAAAAATGAAAATCCTACCTGTTAGTGAACATGTGGAACTTGTATCTGCTTGTGGGGGTGCAAACTGATACACATCATTTTAAAAATGTCAATTCGACAATACTTAATACAGTTGGATGTGTGGGAATGGTCCAACAATTCCACTACTAATTGTGGACTCATCAAACACACATGTGAGTGGGTGTATTCAATGCAGCAATTGTCTGTACTCGTTTTAAACTAGAAATTTCTGAGTGCCCACCAAGGGGAAACAAATACCTATATCATGCATTGGCCATGTGCCATGTATCAAATACCGGTGAAAATGAAAGAAGCAGAACTCCTTCTCTCCTCTCCTATCGACGAAGATAATCCTCAGAAACATAATACTGAGTGAAAGAATTATTCAGAAAAGCACATACCACATGATACCACTTTATAAAATTGGAAGCTACTCATGTCCATAAACTCCCTATGTATGTATACAAATAGCAACAGTATGAAAACATGAATGGATAAGCATAAAATTCAGGATGGTGGTTACATTTAGGGAGGCAAAAGGGCACCATCTCTATTTATAATGTTTTATTTTAAAAATATGAAGCAAATGTGGAAGAATATTAAGATATGTTATGGTTGGTGGTGGCTCCAGGGTATTTATTTGAAATACTCTTCTACAGGCATTACTGCATGTTGAGATATTTCAAGATAAACAAAGAAAAGAAGTCAACTCCGATGGCTCAGGCTTAGAGGGACTGGTGTAAGGAATTAATAAATAGTTTCATTGTCTCCTGAAGAGAAATGGCAAACTCTTCCACTCCCCAAGGAATGAATTTATGTTTTAGGAGTCATTTAATCTCTGGAGCTTTAAAGATACTTTAACTTGTTCCATAAAGGATTTGAGGTAGCTTGCAACAAAAGACACATACAATGAACCACGAAAACATAAACAGAAGTAGAAATTCGGGATCAAAGATAACAAATATTCCATCGATACTGCTGAACTATAGTGTCTGTGATCAAGTTTCAAACTTGGCTCTGAACTTTCTTGGCAAGAATAACCACTCCATCTCCAGCTGACCCATAAAAGCAGGTTACACAAACTAACCTTTGTTCTTCAAGGTTTAAATGTAGCATTTTCCTCAGCAGTCTCTTTTTATTCTGTTTTGCATATTGCCTTGCTAACTAGCCAGGTTCATTCATCCCCCCCCTTCTCTTCTCTTCATTTCTTTCGTTCCTTCTTTTCCTCCCTCCTTCCTTTTTTGTTTCCTTCAAGAATATCTTATGAAACTGTGAGCTGAAAAAATAAAAGGTTTGCCTAAAGAGGAGATAAATAGGACATGTTTGGTCTGTCAACAAACTGTTAATGACAGATGAGCATGGAATCAAAACATGGAAAAAGTATAGGAAAATTATAATAAGCTTTATTTGGGCAGTAAATAATAATGAAATCATGTAGAAAACAGCAGGAGACTTGACAACAGAAAAACACAGATGAATCAAAATTAAAAGACAAATACACTATGACAATCATTTAACAGGTGACAAGCTTATTTTCTTAAATATTAACATAACATAAACAAGTACTGCTATATGCCAATGACTCCAAGTTTTGTAATTCTAGCCCAATCCACACTTCTCTCTTCAACGCCCAGCTCCTAAATCTATACCTACTTCACACCTGCACTTGGATACTTAGCCACCATCTCAAACCCAACATGTCAAAGATGGCATTCCTCTTTCTCTTGAAAGACCCTCCATCAACAGCTTGCTCCCGTCTCAGTTGATTGGCAACTCCCTATTTTCGGGTGCTCAAGCCAAAAACCGTGGGATCATCAATGACTTCTGTCTTTCACACCCCCACATCCACTGTCAGTAAATCTTGGTTCCATCTTTAAAATGCTCCACAAATCCAGTTCCTTCCTGACCCCTCTGCTGCTCTCAGTTTGCTCTCCATCACTACTATCTTCTGCCAGTATTAGCACAGCACCCTCCCAACGGGCCCCAATTTGATTATTGTTCTTGTCTCCTCATCTTGATTTTCTACCTATTATTGGTATGAATCCAGCAACATTCTTATACTTTTACTAAATACATTACTAAAAATATATGTAACATGTGTACTTAAACATTTCACATTAGTGGTTAGACTCATGCATGTAACACACTATTAGCAGATTAAGTGAAATGCACATAAAGACCTTATAACAGTGCAGAACACTTCTCAATGAATCTTTGTGACTCAGTGGGGATTGTATGTATGAATTCCAGGGTAGTCCCTGCTCTGATCCAGAATAGATTGGGAGCAGGGTTGGGCTGTACTCTTAACAAGCCAGGCTTTGCTATTGGTGGAATGAAGCTCAAGAAGTGGGGATCTGATACCAGCAGCATCCTCAGACTCATCAGCACAGTTAACTAGCCTCAGATCCACCAGGACACTTAGTAACCCACGCCAAATCTAGCAGCACAACTTACCCATCCAGCTGCTAAACCATAACATAGAGTACAGTATCTTCCTACATGGGGGAGGGTTTTTGCTTTTGAGGCAACCACGATATTGTTCCTATTTTTTTTTCTTTTTTTGCAGTTTTTGGCTGGTGCTGGGTTTGAACCTACCACCTCCGGCATATGGGGCTGGTGCCCTACTCCTTTGAGTCACAGGCACCGCCCACATTGTTTCTATTTGAGATCTTTTTTTTTTTGAAAAACGCAATCCTTCAGCACACACTAGCTTGGACAGTCTGACTGTGGGATGGTGCTTCTCTCCCCCTTCTCTGAAAACCCTGGAAAATCCCAAGTAGAAAGAAAGGACAAAGTTCCATGGATCACCACTAACTCACAGCATAGGACCCTCACTTAATCCCAAAACCAGTTAGTTTCTCTTATTCTTTTTTTTTTTTTTTTTTTGCAGTTTTTGGCCAGGGCAAGGCTTGAACCTGCTGTCCCTGGTATATGGGGCGAGTGCCCTACACCTGGAGCCACAGGGGCTACCCTTTCTCTTATCCTTTTATTTAGGGATTATCGTCCCCTAGGAACTCCAGTAAGAAAATGAGTTTAAAGGATAGAACCAGATGGGAATACACAGCCACTGGGAGTTTGGGATCAGATAAAATAAGGATTCAAGTAGTAGAAATGAGTATGGGATAGTAGGGGCAGACAAGAGGGAACTCACATAGGAAGGAAGGAGAGACCAAAAGTGAGGAGTAAAGAAGTCTGGTTTCAGGAAAAAGAGAGCAATTCTATTATGAGGCCAGAAGCAGAAAGTCTAGGTAGAACCAGCAGTGGCTGGGCAGGCTTGCTGCCAATTCACTGAGTGCTGACTTAGGGTTCCTCAATCTCCTAGAATGACTGGGCCAAGAATGCACCTGAGGGTCAAGGATCTATCAGCAGGGATGGAAGGGTTGGGGAGGAAAGGCAGAATGCAGGAAGACGGACAGAGGCTTTTTACTAAACAGCTAAGCCATTCACCTGCATATAGAGTAAGCAACAGTTACAGTCCTGAGGAATCACGGGAGTGATTTTCCTCTTTACTAGCCGTCTACCCAGATATTCTTGGTTCTCTTCTCAACATCACCCTCATGTTGGGATCTCCTTTTGATACCAAACAGATAAAAAACCCCAGGAGATCACTATTTATTGGATAACAAATGGTCCCTATACTTCAAATTGGAGAGACTGAAGGATCAAAAACAATGTGACTAGCTCTTCCTGTCCTAGGGCACCAACCCTATGGTTCAACTTGCATCCAAAAGAATACTAATAGCTCCAGTTTTTGTGTTTATTGTGTGCCAGGCATTAGATAAATGCTTTATATCATATACATATCTCATTTGATTCTCAGTCAATAATCTTCTGTAGTAGATACCAGTATGAGGCAACTGAGGTCCACATGGGTCACAAGCTGGTAAGCTGGTAGCTTAAGTGCCAACACGTCAACCTAGGACAGTGTGACTTAAAAGGCCATGTTCAGAAAAATTGTATTAACCTACTGAAGTTGAACACTCTTGGGGGGAGGGTGACCAAGAGATCTTAAGGGTGTGGGTCTTTCTTAGAACCATAATAGCAGCTTCCTCAGCTTCCTTCCCAGTGTCTCTGCTTGGCTTTGCTGTCCTTATCTTCTATTCTTGTTTACCCACATCCTGGTCATCCTGCAGACATAATACATAATTATGTATAATAATACATAATTCTAGGTAAAATCTGAGCAAACTGGAAAATTTCTTTTTGTTGACTTCTAAGGTTGATCTTGTGAAATCATATATTCTCTAGCCTTGGTAATAGTTTGCCACCATCCTTCTCTCACCAGCATGAATTAGGCCAAACCCTTCTGCATCTTGTTTACCAAATGAAAACCTTTCTTTCACCCACGTATCTCTAATACTTCGGAGGCACAGGTGCACATGCACGCCTATGAAAGAGCCCCAGAGTAACTAAGAACGGAAGGAAATACCTTTCTGAGAAGGAGACTGATTTTTACAGCCACTCAGGATCCCTTCAAACAAAGCATTTTTTCTCCCTCAGTTTCGACTTGTTTCATAGTCTATGCCCACAGTGACTCCTAGGGCCTTCTGTGTTGCCCTGAGGATGTATCCCTAGCAGAATGGGGTTTCCTCCCATCTAGGTGTATAACAGGGATCTTACCCAACTACAGAACAACATATAATCAATATGACAATTCTCACTAGTTAAGAAGGCAAACGTATTTTTTTACTAATTTACTGATAAGTTTATTCTTCACTCATAAAAAAGAACATATTTTTGGCTTTTACATCATGACATAAAATAAAAAGATGAATAACTGAAAATTATCAGCTGAAAAGTAGGCAGAAGCAACTCATTCTGAATCTTCAGCAAATACTACGTGCTTTGGGCTGTAGCAGGGGCACCAATCCAAGCAAGGACAGAAGATGCAGTGCCAAGCCGTCTCTAAAGACCACTTAGTTTCAAAAGGTTGTTTGGTCTTCACATATAGAAAGTTAATCCTCTCTTTCTCCTGCTTTAACTATGAGAACAGTGGGCAATACATGCTTTGATGCTAGACTTTCTAGTTTGTGGGGTAATGTTTTAACATGTGTAACCTGCATATTTTTAGCCTTCAAACAAGAAAGCTGCCCAAATCAGCTATTACTAAAAGCTATTTTTATTTTTGGTCAGTTATCTGCTGCAGGCAGAACTTCATATAGGAATTTTTATTGCGGATTTCTATGACTGCATCCCTAACAAGCTCAATGAACAGCTGTGGCCAAAGCTTCTGTAAAGCTTCATTTTTCATGTTGATTTCTGTGGCTTCCTTCACAAGATCCTCTATATACAGCTTGCAGAATTTCTTTTTTTCCTTTATTTCCTGTTAGGAAAAAGAAAATTTTACATTGAATCATAACTAATCCAAAAGGCAAGGCAACAATTAGCTGAACCACAGCACCTGAAGTTTTATGCTGATTCCCCACCCTCTTGGCCTTCACCCCTCCCAGCAGGAATTCTTTCCTAGCCACTCCTGTCAGAGAGCTCTGCTCAAGTAAAGATAGCAACAAGGGGCTTCCTACTTCTCAGCCCACTCCCACTTTTGTTGGACAGCTGTTAGAAAATGTGTTTCTTTATTGGTATTGCTGCATCATAACTACTATTTCTTCTATCTCACTTTAGGTAGTTAAGCTTACACAAGTCAGCTGAATGCACAGACTCAAGGTTTCTTGTAGTAAATGTATTAGGGTACTGAAATGATCATTTTAATTGGCATGAGGTGAGTTAATATCTATATAACACAACAAATCCTATACTCTGAATTTACTTTCTATTCTAGAAAGCATAAAATGGAATATTACACTAATTTATGCAGCCTAGGCCATTTGGACAAAGTTGGGGAAAAGTATAAAAGAAAGAAGAAATATATATGAACCTAGGATGTGGTCTTCTAAAGAAACAGGGTTCCCATTCAACTTCTGAGTCTGACAGTCTGCGAAAGAAAACCCTGGTTCTAAACAAAACAGGGGAAGTCTGGGGCAGAGACTGACTATTCAGGCATTGGGCCCTAATTTCATCACAGAGTTAAAACAAAGTCATTTTGTGTAATGTAAGAATTTGACATTATTTGAGGTATTGATATTTTTATAGACTACTAAGGTATGATCATGGAAGGTGTCATAATACATATGGAAAAATCAATTTGACACATTAGATAATCAGAATTATAAGGAAAGTAATTTACATAAATGAAGGAAGAAAGAAATAATAAATGTCAATGGGAAAATACTCATGCACAGACTCATGGTTTCCAGAGCATACATTTAACTACTTGGAAAATGATCCATTTAAACCTTTAACTCAAGAAGCCCAAATGCCCATTGACCCACAAATGGATCAATAAACTGTGGTATATGTACACTATGGAATACTATGCAGCCCTAAAGAAAGATGGAGACTTTACCTCCTTCAAGTTTATATGGATGGAATTAGAAAATGTTCTTCTCAGTAAAGTATCTCAAGAATGGAAGAAAAAGTATCCAATGTACACAGCCCTACTTTGAAACTAATTCATAGCTTTTATAGGAATGTCATAACCTAATTATAGCCTTAGAATATGGGAAGGGGTTGAGGGGGGGAGGTGAGGGGGATGGATGGGGGAGGGAGGGTGATTGGTGGGGTCACCTCTATGGTTTATCTTACAAGGGTACAAGTGAATCTTTCTAAAAGCAAAGTATGAATGTCTTAACTCAATAACTAAGAGAATGACATGAAGGTTAACCAGTTTGATGAGAGTATTTCAAAATGTATATGAAAACAGCACACTGTACCCCATGATTGCATTAATGTACATAGTTATGTTATAAGAAATAAAAAAACCCAAATAAACCTTTAAGTCAAATCAAAACAAAACAATTTCAAGATGAATTAAGATAGTTAAATTTAAAATATCACAGATATTAATCATCATTTTTAATTTCAGATTAATATGAGGCTACAAATGATTAGGTTACAGGTTCGTGTTTGTTAGGTAAAATCTCTATTGTAGCTGTGCCCCTCGCCCAGGAGGTGTGCCATGTACCCTTACATTGTGCCTGTTAGGTGTGAACACACAATTCCCCTGCCCTCTTCCCTCCTCCTCTCTTCCTCCAACTGAATTTAATAGAGCTTTTATCTTCTGTGGGCATGTATTTGTTCGTCTACCGGCTTCATGTTAATATTGAGTACATTGGATACTTGCTTTTCCAATGATACTTTACTTGTGATACTTTCCTAAGGAGAATGTTCTCCAACTCCGCTCAGGTTAATACAAAAAAGACATAAAGTCTCCATCTTTTTTATGACTGAACAGTATTCCATGGTAAACGTATACCACAGTTTATTAATCCATTCATGGGTTGATGTGTGATTACAATTACACCTATTAGGATTTGTAATAACAAGAAAAATGCTTACACTATAAAATTATGTAAAAAAATAAAAATGCAAAACAAAATTTTGATAGCATTTGGGCTAGCTCTATAAATGTATACATCAAAACTCAGAAATTGTATACCTAAATTTATATTTCAGTATATTAATATTACCTCAAAAATTATATCAAATACTGAACTCTAATTAATGATATGCATGCTGAATTATTTTGGGAGAAGCTTACTAATGTCTGCGATTACTTCAAAATGGATTTTAAAAATCCCAAGGTGCACTGATGGACAGATAGAGGGATGGATAGATACATAGACACATAAGTATACTACATTGTATGATGCTGACAGCACAATGCAGGTTTTGGGAATATGGGTGTTTGCTGTAAAATTCTTCAACTTTACTGTATGTTTGAAATTTTTATTAAAAATAACAAATAGAAACTATTAAAGAAAATATACTGAAGTGTCATTAAGATTGTCTTTATATTATGAGACAATGAGTGTGTTTTCCTCCTTTTTTCTGTTTTTCCTTGTCCAAGAGTTTATGATTTCAAAAATATATTCCTGACTACTGTAAGTTAATAATGAGTCTACATTGCACTAACTGTCCCTAAAACAGGCATATTTGGGGAATATTCTTATGATTTATAAGACATCTCTAAATAACCACTCCCCATCCAGGGGTCAACATCCTGATATGTAAGTAGTTCATGCGCTAAAGCAAAAGGTCACAGGTTGAACTTTTTGTGCAGATTTTGACAGATACACAACAGATCTTTCCAGCTTACTACTTCTCTGATGAACATAACTTCTCCCACTCTGACCACACTAAGTCAGGGACTTAGGCACCTGCACTAAGGTCAATGAAAACAGCATTCAGCTGTTCACCTTTTATACTCAGTAAATCTGAGCTACATAGGGTCCCCTAGAAGAATAATGAGTGTGAATCACTGGAGATCAGTAACTAAAATGAGCAGTATTTTACAAGTAATGTATGTAGACAAGTAGAAGGCACAGGGCATATTTGAGCGCTCTCTTATATATTTGTAAGTTTTCAAAAATAGGATTTGAATTTAAAAAAGACAAAGTTCTATGATTAAGATGATTATTATAATTTAGAAATAATAAAAATTAAAAGAATGAAATCATTGTTTCTTAGAATGAATCAATCATTCATTCTTTTGTTAAATCACTTATACACAATGCCAATTAAAATAAACATGTCATAACTGGCATAGTATAATTTTTAGGGTTTTTAAATTTCCTATTATAGTTTCTTCTACTATTTCTCTATGAATATCTTGATACAGAATTGAATTTGCTATAATAGTCCTTAATTTTGTATTGAATTGAAAGAAGCATTTTTACTCTATCGTTTCTCCTCTCCTCTGAGCCAATTACTCTGTCCCTCCATGCAGTATACCCTATAACTACTCAGGTCTCTGCCAGTACAACTCACTCTGCCGGTCCAGAATGATCCCATTAAGAGTGCATGAGAGATGCATGTCTTGCCCTGACCCGTCAACGAATTGTGGCTTTTTGAATAACGCTTTTTCCATTCTCAAATGCTTTCATCATATGGTTATTTCTTTTTATCCCAAGTATCTCTGTTGTATTCATAAAGCAAGTATTTTACAAGTTCAATCCTGATGAAATGAACTCCATACAATATTGTTTATGTTATTTCATTGAACTAGAATTTGTTATGAAGATAGTTTGGGGAAAAAAGTAGGTCAGGCTGGGCGCGGTGGCTCATGCCTGTAATCCTAACACTCTGGGAGGCCAACATGGGTGGATTGCCTGAGCTCACAGGTTTGAGACCAGCCTGAGCAAGAGCTAGACCCTGTCTCTAAAAATAGCTGGGCGTTGTGGTGGGCGCCTATAGTCCCAGCTACTTGGGAGGCTGAGGCAAAAGATCACTTGAGCCCAAGAGTTTGATGTTGCTGTGAGTTATAATACCACAGCATTCTACTGAGGGCAACAAAGTAGAATCTCAAAAAAAAAAAAAAAAAAAAAAAAGTAGGTCAATAGTGAAGTTCATTACAGAGCAATTTTAACTACAATGATATTGTATTAGGATTTAATTCATATCCCCATTTTATAACTGAGAAATAAGTTCTATAGAGGTTGAGATATTTGCTCTAGATTAAACATCACCTGTTAATATTTTCCTAGAAAATAATCTAGTTCTTAAGGAACTGTCAGTCTACTTGGGAGATGGCTTACACATATAAAAAGCTAACTAAAAAAACAGTAAATAAATGCTGAATAAAATGTTCAGGCAACAAATATAATTCATGTCCAGAGAAGAGAGAGGCCTTTGCATTGGGGCGGTCAAGAAGACTTCAAAAAGCATTATGATAAACTGTGAAAGAACCCAAGGTGAGCAATCAGGTCTCAGTTTTACAGGCAGCTCATTCAATAATTCATTGTGAACCTGAGTAATTCACCTGAGTTTCTGGTTTTCATCATCTGCCTAAGATGGGGATGGGAAACCTTTCAAGTTGGAAGGCTGCCATCAATCTAGTTATAATCAAATAAGGCTGTATGCAAGAAACTTTAATTAGATATACTTTAAAATGTACATTATATTGTAAAATTCAAACTGCTATGTACTTAATTTCAACAAATGAAAACTATTTGTTAAAGTTAAATGACCTTTTAATAACTTTGTGGTGTCTGCTTTTTGTTGGGAAGTATTTGAATGGTTAGTTGCAACATGGAGGTCCACAGTTTCAGTTGATCCTCTAGATGGGTATCGGTCACCTGTGACCTTAAGAGTGCCTTGATTTGGGTTAGGCAAAAGAATATAGATTCATAGCGATAAGTGGTTGAAAAGAAAGAAAGAATTTGGGGGGCATGTTGCTGAAGGCGTGGGCATTCTATTGCATTTTTTCCATATTTCAACTGGATCTTTCTTTAGCAGCAAACAATGACTTTAAAATGTCATCTCCTG